AGCTCCTTCAACGTAGGTATTTATGAATTAATACGAAACTTGATGAGCGGACAAACGTCAAAACGTCCATCATAGCGTGCCGGTACTATAGTTTCCGTTTTATTGTTGAGCAAAATCATCATAACTTATATTTCATAATGAAAGTTACCAATATGTAAATGCGTTAGTTATGACAAGGAGGTCATAACTGTCAGTCTTTGTTGTTGTATCAAATCGAGTAGGTAAGTCTCGTTATTAGGACTGGGTTTCGTGTAAAACATTGCTTATAGAATACAACGTGTCATCAAAGTCTTATTCATATATGTCTATCTTCTGTGCTGTGTAGGTTTTCTTACGATGTTTTTCTTTTATTTAACAATTTTATTACATACGGCAAAACTATCGAAAACTTTTTCCTGTTTTTGTAGGTATCTAATAAAATCAAGGGTGTTGTCTATTGCAGAGTCCACTTGACCTACATTATATAAGACCTTCGCACGAAAATCTCCATAATTGAAATATAAAGATTCTGTTAGCGTACATATTCTAAGTCCAGTTTAAACGGTTCACGCGTGACGAGCATGGGAAAAGAATCGCGTATAAGAAATTGCACTGATTAATTTGAAAGTAAGCTACTTATATGGTAGTTGACCAAGTGTAGTTTCGCATTGAACTATTGCTTAAAAAGGTGAAGAGAATGTAACTAAGGTGAGGTATTTCAATATGACCCTAGATTTTAGGAGCTGAAGTGCGGGGGGAAGGTCGCGCACTTTATATTAATATGAATAAAATAAGAACAGGCGGAGAAAATATGACACAGACCCGACGTGGACAAGCACCCGATGGCGACTGACGGAGCAGCGGGCGCAGCGGCGTGTCGTTAAGCAGCTGGGTAATTTGGAAATTTTGTGATAAATATGAATTTAATAACTAATAAGGCTTCAGTTGAAAACCAGATCAATTTGCAGGTTCTCTGTAGTAGTTAAAATTTGTAATAGCGAAGGACATAACTGCTAGAAGCCCAAATAGTAGACACAATACCCAAAGACAAAACGCTTCAAAGTAATTCTTACGGTACGTGTGGAAAAAATTTTAATCATATGCCAGATCGCTTTAAGCCTCTCCATTAATCAGTTTAAAAAAAGAATTGCGTAAACGGCTTTTATATCATTTATTGTTCTACTCAGTTGACGATTTTATGATATAAAGACTAATTGATTGATGCATACATGTCTCTACAATTGTTTATTTATCTAATCTAATTAAATTATGACTTCCACCATTATGACTTATCCTGTATGAATTAATTTAATTTGGTAATGCATTGTTTAATTGTTTATTATTATTTTGCATGCTTTTGTTTAAGGCTGAATAGGATTAGGTTCTAATCAAATTTTATTATCAACTTTTGTTACCGTACCCTATTCAAAGCGAATATATGAATTTGAATTAAAAAAAATTATCTTCGTATAAAAATTATGTACAAAGTAACATATTTTATTCTTAAGTAATTCGTTTTGGACTTTAGTTTTAGCCTGGTTTCAGGATTTTATATGATCCGATAAAGTACAACCTACCGTGTAACACATTCTGTAGACGATATCCTATATATATATTTATATTTATAATTGTAAAATGTAATATACAATACATTGTATATTTTTGTAATATCGTAATTTAATAGTTAATACCTAAACCATTTGATCTAGCAAAACAGTTTTAACTACTAACTTCTTGAATTCGATGTAAATTTTATCTATGTAGTTTCTTCAATTTCTTAAAAAAACAAAACTGTTTTAAATTATTAATAAATAAATAAAAGACATTTTTATTTATCCACAAAACACGTAAATGAAATACAAGCGAACTATTAAAACAAAAAACAAATAATGTGGATAAAACGGATGAAGACAGCATTGCTGATTTTCAATCTTCACCTATAACTATTCGCTCGCTGCATCAGACTGGCAAGCGGAGTATATAGTATCATCATCCACAGCCAGATGTCACCTACTGTTGGGTACAGTCCTCCCGAAGTTTGTGCTATCCACCACGGTCTTGCAGGACTAAAAAGGCCCCATTAGCAGAATCATAATATGAGTAATTGACAATTCATATCATCAATTTTCAAACAAAGCAAAAAACGCAATTCCTATATTTCACTATGTTCCTTGGAGACCCCCATAGATAACAGTCAAATAGATGAATTGCGTTATATGAATTGTAAGAAATTCATAATATGAATTGTCAATTAATCATATTATGATTCTGCCATACGGCCTTCTTAGCTCTGCTGTGCTAGCCGCATCCATTGACGCCCTGAGACGCGTACTATGTCGTCGACCCACCTTGCAACAGGGCGCCCGACACTTCTTCGCCTATCCTCAGCCACAATCAGTCGACGTCTTGCTCCATCTGTTATCACCTTGTCTTGCTATGTGTCCCGCCCAACCCCATTTGTACATATGTACAACCGCAAATGTACATATTAAACACCAAATAATTATACAGAGTATGCCTTTTATATATACTCGTATATAGTACAACTATATACGTAACAGGTATAAAAATTTTAAAGTTGTTTTAAGAAATTCTAGATTTTATTTATTTAGTGTTGTTTAGGGCTTGGAATATCCGTATTTTCAGGAACCGGTACTACTAGCTTTTAGATGATACCGGTGTAAATTGTACCTGTATTTTTAATAACCATACTGTTGGGTACTCTTGCCTGTGCTATTCAATCATAATGGTATCGAATACCCCGTGTACTTCCTGGAGCGAAACTGACCGCGTTGCGTCGTCGGTGTTGACATTGGCAGTCAGTGTTGCTGTAAAAATCCAACTTTTGCTTGAAATGATATAATTATTTATTTCCGTTTATCTCTTCTATTTCTGTTGCTGATCACGTTACAATATAAACGAATAAGACTGTGCCATCTTCCTGCCTAGTTGAAGACTCACATCCGCACCGCTGCCGACAACGGCACTACAAAGCGAAGGGAGGACCGCGTGAGTATTTTAATATCATTTTAAGCAGGCTGCCACATGCAAAGAATTACTTGCACCTTATATACAGTCCACCTATAGCCGCGTGGCTGGGCCTCCTTACGCCACAGGTACCATTATCCTTGCTAGGGTATCGGTATTTGAGATGATACCTGCATCAAGTGTACCTGTATTTTCAGAAATTGATGTCATTGATCTTTGTATGGTAACAGTTGGATACGCGTATATTACACCGATACTAATTAATCTATTTAATAATAAGAAACCTTTCTTTCTTTTTTTATGTTATATTCAATTCATTGTGATTTTAATATAATGATGTAACTAATAATAATATTGTGATACTGAAGTACTAAAAATTTCACTATGTGTCAGTGTTACTTGGCGGTTTTTGTTTATTTAGTTCATACGGGGCGGTTTGATTTTACTGTGGTAAACGTCATATAATATAATTACTTATAAAAAAAGAATTTTCAAAATCAGTCCACAATTGACGGAGAAATCGGAAAATATACATGAAACATGCATACAGCTGAACGTATAACCTCCTCCTTTTTTTCAAGTCGGTTAACAATATCCAGATATCATTATTATGTCGTTCAAATCTGTGTCTCGCTCCATTTTAGTATCGAACTGAATATTTTTTCATCCTCTCTCCAGCTAAGTTTTGGGGCCAGATATTCCGGGGTGAACGAAAGGCTCAAGGTGTACCAGACTAGTAGCAGTAGAGCTCGTTGTGAAAGAGTTCGTCCAGTGAAGTACTGCTACCTTACCTATTTCTGCCACCAAGCTTTTGTTGCGACATAAGAGACCCGCCACACTAGCGTCTTTCGTGCGTCAGCGTCTTGCCAACGTACTCACAGCGTCACATAACGTTAACACGGCGTCCGCGCGGCGGCATCAGCGACAGCGGAATAGTGCCGAACGTTGGGTATACGCCACGTTGGCGTTGCGTCGCCGTCCGCGCGGACGTAGTGTCGACGCCGTGCGTGCGTTAGTACGACGCTGATGCGTGAAAGAAACTAGTTTGGGGGTCTCTTACGCGCGAGACACTGATATTCTCACATAGTGATCCCGCGCTTTATGTCGCTCTCGCACAAGTCGCGCCCTGTCGTGCTAGCCCTACTGGTGAAATTACAGGCACTTGCGACTTGTCAACTTATGTCTCAGGGAGACGGGCGCAGTGGCAGTGCCCCTCATATCTTTATTATTTAAAGCACTAACTGGCATTGCAACTGTTATGGACAGGCGTGTCGCTTACCATCAGGCGCACGACTCGTTAGTCCCATCACTTAGTATCACAAAAAATTACAATTCATTTTAAAATAAGTACTTATATTTTTCATATGTAGTAAATTATATGTATATACTTAAAATTGGGGTGTTACTTTAAAAGAATATGACAATGTAATGCAGGAGTTCATGCCGTGTAATGTGACATGCTGTATAATAAAAACAAGTAAATAGTATAATTATGTTATAAATTTTATATATAGGTTAAATAGACAAGAGCGCACTTAAAAACCTATTTGTTAAATATTGATATTAAATGACTAATAGTAGGCATGATAAATGGTGGTAATTAGGTACTATAAAAATGAAAACATTTATCAAATGTTTATAGTTATTATTCATAGTATGCAAACAGTGTTGTTAAGTGGCAATCAAATGTAGGGGTCTATCAGTAAAATCTACAATCGCAGTGTTTATTGGAAAGGAAAACTAAGCACAAAGCAGTTAAAAGAAACCACAGCTGGTGTTTAATAAAAAACAGATAAGCTTTATAACTGAACAAAATGGGCAAACGCTTTGTAATAGCTTACAAACTGTTAGTACTACACGTTTTAATTGTTACATTGTTATTAAACATTCAAGCTAAAATTTTAGCAGAGAATACGGAAGAAGTAAATAATAGCTTAGTAAGTTGTGTAAAAGCGGTAATAAACAAATATTACGAAAAAGGAAAACAGATCACATTTATAGATATCGAGTCGGATGATAATGACATATTAAAAATGATTCATGTGATGTCATCTTATTCCTTAATATCGAGAAAACAGCTCAACGCAGTGAAAATACGCATACCTCATCAGGGATATGTAATAAACGCTAGAAATGCGGAAACATTTGTTGAAAATTTTCACTTCATTAAAAGAGAATCTACTTGGAACCCAAGAGTTAAATTTCTTATTATTATAAAAATTCTTCGAAAGGATGAACTCAGAGACATCTTTGATGAAATATTGCATGTCCATGTTACGAATGTAATTGTCATCAATGGAACAGATGAAGCTGATATTTACACTTACAACCCATTTGAAAACTACGCATGTGGGAGATATTTTGATAGAATTATAGAGTATGGTCAATGTTCCCAACCCACAGTTTCCGATTTATATCCAAATAAGCTTATAACAGGACTAATAAACTGTACATTTTCAGTAGCAATTCCACATTTACCACCATTAACAATAATCCCGAATAAAAATAAGACATTGAAGTATAAAGTTACAAAAGGGACTGAACAATTTGCTTTCGAAACTATCAGTAAATTGGAGAAATTCAATATCAATTATTCTTATATAAACTTTGCTGAAACTTCATCTTTGATAGATGCAGATATGAAATCTAATGGATTTTTTAATTTAATTGAAACAAATCAGGTTGATGTGTTGTTCGGTTATATTTGGCTGACAAGCATTAGAGGTGCAGCGTTTGATAACTTATATGCTCATCTAGCTTTTACCGATACACTCACTTATATTGTTAAGAAATCTGGTGACGTACCTGTATGGATGAATATGTACTTAGAATTCGATTTTATCGTCTGGATTGCTTTGTTTGTTTCTTTTATAGCATTTTCCATGTTGGCAGTTTTCTTGCTTCGCACTAATGATAAGATATCAACTGTTCTAAAACTATGGGACAATTTGTTTTTGCATGGCTACACTATTCAGTGCAGATTCACTACAAAGTGTGTATTGTTACTTTGGGTTTGGTTTGCGTATTTAATTAATGCTTTCTACCAATCAAGTCTAGTTAGTCTCACGATGTATCCCAGTAAGGTGCACCAAGTGTCTACAGAGAAAGATTTGACAGAACACTATTTTGAGTCTTGCGTCAGTCCAACTATGATAGAATTCCTGTCCTCTGAAGCAAATATGTCATTTAAGCGAGATATAGGAAATTGTCAAACACTAAAACAAGGCATAACAACTGTAAGTAAATTTGATAAAATGTTCACAATAGCACCATTATCAATATACCAGTTTAACAGGTATAAGGTATTGGATGCAACAGGACAGAGTAAGGTCTACCTTTTTTCTGAACCAGTCATGAAATTGATTTACGCAATCATTTTGTACAAAGGATTTCCAATGCATAAAAAGTTGCATATGCACAGTATGTATTTACGACAAAGTGGATTGATGGACAAGCACTTTAACGATCTTTATTATGACCAGGCTAAAGTCCACGACAGGACATATGATGTATCTTTTAAGGCCCACATCTTAGTTCCTTGGAATCTTATGTTCATTGGGTATACTCTAGCCATGGTTACCTTTGTTTTAGAGTTGTTAGTTAAAAATAAACATGTGATTATACGTTATATTTGACAATAAAATTGTAAAGAATGAGTCTATACTTCAAGTATTTTTAAGTAAACGTCATTATTACCTACGGAAGACCGCAATAAGCTTTAAGAAACAGTTAGGGCGCGTTCCCGCTATGTCGTCACGTTTTATTATCGTTGGACGACTGTCGTGACTAGCTGTTCCCACTACTTTGTGACGACAATTTATCGTTTCACGACAGCCTCCTTGTCGTTTGCACGACAGAATCGTTTGATGCACTGCAGTCGCTTGTATGTTCTTTTGGAAGCCGGTAGTGTGTGTTCGCTCGAAATGGATGTAGACGAAATTTTAATAATGTATTACTTTTTTAAAATGCGGAAGAGGAAGCAAACAAAGAAAAGAAAGTTTTGGGTACATCCAATGCTACAAAAAAGAATTCCATTAGGGTTATCTCAAACGGTATACGAAGTTGCTTTCTTTTCGGTATTGTCAATACTTGGGGGTCTAGTCTCGAGCTCCGCCCGAAACAATTACTGCCAAATAAGCAATACTTGACCAAATGATAAGACACGTGATGCGAATAAAGCTTCATACTTGATATTTGTCTTTTAATTTTGTCGAATATTATTTGATAGTAATTGTTTTGGACGGATGTCAGACGGAGATCGAGAGTAGACCCCCTGCTACGACCAGAGATGGGCAGTAGGTTAAAACCCAATCAACCCGCCCGTGTTTTCACCAGGGTTGTACCCGAAGCGACGAGTTTTAACCCATTTCTGCCCAAAATCGGCAGAAATGGGTTAAAACTGGGCAGAAACAAAGAGTACAGAATTTGGTATAATTCCAACACTAACAACATAATATACAATAACTTGTAACAAATTTCTACATTTTTATTACATGAAGAAGAGGCATTTCCACATAATTATTTTTGAACAAAACTCAATTCACAACAAATATTTAGACGTAAATAGTTTTTGCCCTCGATTTCGGGTTTTAACCCGATTTAAACACGGCGTTAACAAAGCGCCGAGTTAAAACCCGGGCGCTTGCCCATCTTTGGCTACGACCCAACGCTACTGCAAAGCGAGCAGAGGGCGCGGGGTACGAAAGGTGAAGGCAGGGAGCAGAATACGTGCGGACAGCGGTAAATAAAACGTGACGACAATAGGAGCTGCGACAATCTGTCGTCACGTTTTTATCGTGACGTTTTCTTATCGTCTGACGACTGTCGTTCTAGCTGTTCCCACTGTGACGATAAAAAATCGTGAACGACAGTTAATCGTGTCGTGCTACATGTGAACAACTTCATTTAAATATACAAGCCACGACACTGTAAACTGCACAACAATCTGTCGTCACGGCATAATGGGAACGCGCCCTTACTAGTACTCGTATATTTGTCTGGTTATATGTGTGTTTGTGCATTCTAATCTCCACAATGTGTGTACTAATTTAAAAGTCAGATTAAGAAATGTTTTAAGATAAGCTTGCGATAACGTTTTGATTCATCTAAATCGGTTGACAAATAAAAAAAGATAGATGGATGTCAATTTTAAAGTGGTTTTCGTATCCTCTGAACTTATTGGGTGCGAAAAATTAACAACACGATATACCTAGCTTCCACATTGAAGCCTCTATAACGTTTTAATGATAACAATAAATAGAAAACTGTAATATTATCTTTAAGTGTACTTATTAATTATAATACATTAATTTTTATTGAAAATAAACATTTGTCGTGTGGGGAGTTTTATGAAGATATAAAATTTTCCCTTTGCGGCATGTTAATTGGTCGTAAAGTTTACGAGGTAGGCATCACAGGTGACACATTGTTGCAAGTATGAAACCGCGAGCACAGTTCTAATTTAAGTAATTTCAATATCTACATTTTGTTAAGTTAAATACATTGCAACAGAGTGAGAAATAAAAACTGTGTACGTTCAATATTTATTTTCCATATTCGTGTGTTATCAACAAATACCTTGATTTCTTTTCTGTCAGAAACAAACAAGCGATTATAAGTCGTTCCCGTGTTGTGATTGATGTAGGATATTATTATAAAAGTCAGTTAATGAAAATTTAACACGCACAGCGCTACTTACCTTAAAATGTTGCTGTTGTCTTATGTGTTTCTCCTGTTGCTTGGAATTTCTAATGGAAATTTCTTTAACTATGAACAAGGTTCGGAAACTTTGTCAACATGTATCATGAATATAACAAGGCGATATTACGGAGAGCACATCACATATGTAGACATCAATTCTGAAGACAATGAAGTTTTGAAAGGAATAAGTACCATCTCCAGGCAATTGGTTATCTCAAGGACAACTTCAAAAAAGATTCAGATTCCTCATCATGGGTACTTAGTCTTTGCAGGAAATTCAAAAGATTTTATTAAACATTTCGGCAATCTAACACGAGAAGTTACTTGGAATCCGGCAAAAAAATTTATAATTATTGTAAAGAAACTTAGTAAAAACGAACTACACAATATTTTCTATGAACTATTAGGTCTTCACGTTTACGATGTCATGGTGATTAATGGAACAAGCACAGCTGAAATCTACACTTACAATGCGTTTGAAAATTACGCATGCGGAAAATACTTTGAAAGAATAATCGAATTTGGGCAATGCATGAACCTGAACGTGAATAATAATTTATTCCCGAATAAATTTATAACTGGTTTAAGAAACTGCACGTTTACAGTAACTGTACCTCATTTTCCACCATTTTCTATATTCCCTTCCAAAAGCGAATTGAAAATATATTTGCCAGGTACCGAACAATATGCCTTTGAAACTATAGCTGACCAAGAAAAGTTTAAAATAAATTATTCATACATTGACTTTGCTGAAACATTTTCAACGGTTGACGAAGATATGAAAGCTACAGGGGGTTTGGATTTTATTCAAACAAATCGTACCGATGTTGTTGTTGGATATTTAGTCTTAACTAATATACGGGCAAGAGCGTTTGATTATCTCTATGCCCACCAAGCATTCACTGATGAAATGGCCTACATTGTACACAGAGCCGGTAACGTACCAATATGGATGGCTATGTATACGGAATTCAATTTCGGCGTATGGTTTCTTCTGTTCATGTCCTTAACTTCAACGTCCGCTTTAATTATTATTCTTCTCCGCATAGAAGATAAAGTTGGCGTTATTTTAAAGTTATGGGGTAATCTACTTTTACAGGGGCATAGTTTTCAATGTGGATCCACTGTGAAGCTCATTTTGATCATTTGGGTTTGGTTCGCCTATTTGATGAACTCTTTTTACCAATCCAGTTTGGTCAGTCTCATGACATATCCAAGCAAAGAATATCAAGTTTCCACAGAAAAAGACTTGTTTAAGTTTTATTATAGACCTTGTGTGGCCCCTGCAGCCCAGCAATTCTTGAATCATCATTCAGGGATGACCTTCAAAGAAGATACAGGTAATTGTAAAAAATACATCCAAGGCATTAAAGCCGTGAGCAACCATGAAGGACTCTATACTATATCTTCAAAAGCGATTTATCAGTTTAACAAGTATTTATTTCAAGATTCTTCAGGAAGGATGAAAGTGTATGTCTTTTCTGAGCCTATAATGAAGTTAATATATGCTATATTTTTATATAAAGGTTTTCCTATGCATCAGAAGCTGCACACACATAGTTTACGTTTAAGAGAAAATGGTCTAATGGACAGGCATTTTCGTAATCTTTATTACAAACAGGCATCGTTTCACACTCAGAGTTGTGATAATACTTTCAAATCTCGCATTATTGTGCCCTGGAACATTCTACTCGTAGGTTCTACTATAGCAACCATTATCTTTGTTTTAGAAATTTTGTATACAAATATAGTCTTAACGTAATGTTTCTAAGTTAACTTATTAGTGTGTTTTATTTTCGAATACGTATCCGTTTTTAACCGACTTTAAAAAAAGGAGGAGTTTTCATTGATTTCAAGATTTCATGGTATTTTTTTTGTATGTTTGTTACGCAATAACTCTGGTATTTGTGAATCGATTTTGATGATTTTTTTTTGTTGGTCCCGTTTAAATTGAAGAAAATATTCGACGTCTCAGGGTCGTATTCTAGAACTCTATTCAATGCTCAAGTCAGGATTGCACTGGCAACACAAGCACTGGAAATACGACCCTAATGGCAGGGACTTGAGTATGATTTCGAATGCTTTAAACCATACTCAAATTCTGACATGAGTATTGAGTAGAGTTCTAGAATACGACCCTAAGAGTGGCAAACTTGGGGATGAATCCGGTTTCGCGCACTTTCCGGTAATCGTTTTCAAAAAAAAACTTGGCGAATAGATGTAATTCCACGAATTTTGAGGTTGGTTTGTTTTTATTAAAAAATTACAAATATCATTTTTCATGTCAACTATACCAGTCTTGTTTCCACCTTGTCGGTTGAGGAGCAGCCGAGCTATTTCCTTCATAGATTGTGCAACTTGAGTGGCTGCTAAAAAATCTTCGCTCGCTGCGTTTCGATAATATACGTCCTTGAATTAAATTGCGTTTTATTGTCATTCCTAATATTATTCAATATAAATTGTTGTAAATATAAAATCTTGTTGTTGTAAATATAAAATCTTGTAATTATCATGTTATGCACCTCTGTTAATTAATTTGAACCCAGCTCTCCGGTTGATTCATAGAGAATGCCCAATGGCATAAGTCCGCCATTTGTACTGTTTTGTGTGCTATAAGGCTTAAATATATAAATAAATAAAATGCCAATGGTAATTAACAGGGAAAATATGTTACTGTTAATTATGTCGTAAGCTTATGTCATTTGATGTTCTGGTGTGATAACCATATTTATGAATTAAAATAAGTCTTTTTTCTTGCTTTCTGGATTTTTTCTTTCTTTAACATACCATAACTTATTTCTTTTTTTAGTTTGTCAGCTGTAATGTGTTTCCTATGAGGGTTCTTTGCGCAAGATTGCAAAACGGAATTATTACAATGTCATCATGTTTGAAGTAGCAATTGGCAACAAAAGCAAGATTTTTCATCATTCTTTAAATAAACCACACCACATGAAGAATCTTCAAATATCGATGTTACAAGGGCCATAGAACAAGTTATAAAGTAACAAGCGACGTTCATTGAAAGGTACTATTTACGTGTTAGCGTTTGTGGGTCTGTTTATACCGCAGTCGATAACCGAGGCCGGCTTGAGTCGCTTGCGTGTTCTGCGCTTTAAGGAATTTACGCGCTTTTTTTGTAGATACAATAAACGACTTTAACGTCAGTTATACATGTTTTAAAATCGTACAGTTCGTAGTTTTTTTTAAGTTTCATTTGTTTTAGTTTAGAACTGTTGACGCACGTGAACTAATTTCTAAGTGTGTTCGGATTTAGAGCGTACAAAAGGTAAATGTTTTTGATTTGAACTAATATGTTTTACGTATAAGTTTCGAGTAATTTAATATGTGTAAAAAAAATGTGTGCAATAAACATTTTTGTTATTCGTACAAAAAATAAATAAATGGGGTTTATTGTCAGTACAATCAAGGATACGTCAAGTTTCACAATTTGGACATGGAACGTTTTTACAGTAAGTGACATATGGTTAAATTTAAATCTAGCCTGACATATTCTTGACTGTATAAATGGTAGAGGGTTTATGAACGGATCATATATCTTTTCAAACACTACGCTACGTAATTACGTAAATTAATTACTTTTTTATTTAACATTGACATTTTACTTTAACAAAAATAAGTTCCCTTAATACGGTTATATTCATTATAACGTAATCGACGTTTTAGTGAAATTGAGTTATTAAAATATTTGGAATTAGTGAAACTAAATCTACAACCCCCTCTAATCGATTTTTTTATATTTTAATTAGTTTCTATTATTGTTAAGCAAAATCAGCGTACCTAACGAATTGACATTTTTAGGCAATTAAATGACAATTAAAACTTTCGGTGCCAATCTCGAAAGTCACCGAAATGCAAACTTTAATCCAAATATTTTATTTAAAAAATACATCGATAGATAGTTTCATATCAAACGAACTGTCACAAGTGAGGCAAAAATCAAATTCATGTAGGCTAGTTTTAGTAGTAGGTTAATTTTCGGTTTTAGTGAATATTTATATAAAAATACAAGTTGAAACGCGTTACTTCCTTGTGGAATGTGATGTTAGTATCTATTTTATGTTTGTCTGACGTATTTTTACACTCATTTACCGCACATTTCGTCATTTTTAGCTAAAATTCTGGAGCTGTTCGCGGTGCAAGTTGACCTTGAGCACTGAAGGTCCGCCCGCTCGTGTAGGCCCATTGGGCGCGCTTCAAATTGCACCACTTAGCGTGTGCGGGCTAGGTTTCTATGCGTTATTATTCTAAGCATCCATATTGGTTAATGAACAATACAAACATATATACTAATGTTTTTTTATTTTTTTTATTAGGCTTACAAAACTGGTTACAGAGTTATCAATCTTAACTAGAAACGTGCTTAAATACGATTCGAATACAATGGGATCTACTAGATGTAAGCACAATATGCGTATAATTTTCGTAACGTAACGTAATTCTTCTTACGAACTAATTTGGACTCGGATAGCCTAATTTCTGTTCACAAACTAAAATGAAAAACAAATGAAGAAAGTAATTTCAAAGAAAAAGTGTTTCATAACTTACGTTAAATTTACGTAGGTACCTATACACCGTTTGGCTGAGGATAAAGAACCACCGAAAATATATCAAACATTTCAAATACAATTATCACTATACATTCTATACGGACGAGAATGATGACCGAGTCTTGTCTTAAATGCAGGCAGAGCAAACGTTTTCCGATTTTGTAATCGGCTACCTATCCGAGGGAGAGAAAACTTGACATGCTCCAAAATATCCGGCGAATCAATGTGACATGGATTAACTTATACAAAAATGTGATATCTGAAATTTTCCTACGCATATAATAAGAAAGAAAGACCTTAATGTTAGTAGTTATAAGTACGCAATAAGCATGGAGTTCTGTCCAGTGTTTAAGGAACGAATCCTGGACTCGATTAGTAACGATACTGAAGAGGCTGTTACCGCTGGTACATACATACTCTGCGTATCAAAGAGGCTACTCGCTTTGGCAGAATTGCAGCAAATCCCGGGCCGCAACAGCATCCTGAACATATTATTATACACAACTTGTTGAAAAACCTGTCCCTATCCGCCTCAAACACACCAGGAATTGCCTTCGGTATCCTTCTTTTCTTCAATAAAACTCCTTTGAAACTTAAATCGCCTGGTTTGTTGATTCAGAAAGTTTACATTTCCATAAAATTTATTTCTATGTCCATCTGACTTATTGAATATCGAACGCGACTGAACATGATTACGAACAAAACAATGACAACAATTTTCACTTATATTTATACCGATACGGTGTGTCACACACCGTACCAGCCCTATCAATTCGCCGCGGACGCCGCTCGGCCATTCAGAGCTCCTGAATTACTCATTATTGCTCTGACCGGCTAGACGCGTACGGCCGTCCGTAACACAACTCTCAAGGAACTGAGAGCTTTCTGGGTGCAGTTGATCCATAGGTTGCAGGTATAAAAGGTCTGGCAGTAAGCTTTAAATAGAGACACTTTTATCAGTACACTTTGCAACAGAGTATGACTAGCATGGCAGAATAATGTTATTAAGAGACTGTTCAATTACAACGTTCCAAAAATAATCAAATATATCCAAGACATAATGACTCATCCTTCAATCATTTTCTAAACATCAACTACGTAATTCTCTCTTTAATATCATCGTAGTTACATAGTGATTTCAAAGTATTCAAAGTGTTTTAGGCAAGAAACACTTAACCACAAACAACATTCTGTGGTCGGTTGCGACCGCACATTAGGAATACTCTATCCAATTCCAGCTGCAGTTTATGTTGCATTTCTTTAGTTATTAAATACGAACGAAGTTTAATTCAACAGATGGTTAGTTTAAATGGCGACCATAAAAATAGATTAATCGTACCAGTGACCCAATTGGAGAAGTAACATTTCTGGGAAACTGATATTTATTTTAAAAAATAACATACGAAATTATACTAATACCTATATCTTTTATAAGTGTAATGGACTTTAGTAACATTTGGTCACATAATTTTTTTAAGCAATTTACAATAATTTTGATTCTTTAATGTTTTTTTTAAACAACTTCCTTATTTGTGAAATACTATCAACCTCATAATCAACAAACTTTTGTTCCATGACTCTTTATAAAACATAATAAATTTACCAAAAATAAACTTTTAAGTTTTTGTTGTAATATCTAATACATTTTAGATTTATATTCGGTAGCATTGCAGTAAGTTCAAACCTGTAAGCGTCCTCCCCGACGACCCCCATATAAAATCTGATGTATTATTAAAAATCATCCAACTAAAGTTGTGGTTTATGATTTTAGTACCTAATATAAAATAACCCCGTATCGGATTTAGTTGACAAAGAAAAATGGCGTGTCACTTGGTGTTATAAAGTAAAAGTAAAGTAAGTAATTAAACTGTAAAATGAATCGATAGAGGTTATCGGCCAGTGTAACAGTAGTTAGACAAGATCAATTAATAAACGTCCATTGTTGGGAATAAATAGACCATCGAATATTATGTCGTCGAAGGTTATACCTACTATTCTGTAGGCGTAAATAAATTTGACAACTCTAAACTAATATTAAACTAATACTAAACTAATATTAAATCTCCTATCATTTTTTTAACTGAAACGAAAAAATATGCGTTGATGTTAAATTTAGTTTAGATTGCGTTAGTCGGAATCGACGCCGTGATAAAATTAACGTTCTTGTTGTCTAGTAATGCCTATTAATTTTCAAAATACGTAGGAATTAAGTAAGTAATATCTTTTTTATGACGTACGTGATAAGGTCAGTAAATGCGAAAATTACTCTGATACAATACCATAATTTGATTGCTTAAACTAGTATTATGTAACCAAAGCGTATACTAATCTTGACCTTGCAGAATCGGGGCCAAAGCAATGAACTTTACGAGTGGGTGATCATTATATTTTTCACAATAATTTATTATGTGTTTAGTTTAGTGTTCGTTTAGAGGCGTAACAGGTTTTCATAGTAGACATTGAAATGAGACTTCAGTAACTGTTATAAATTATATTATAAGATCTTTTCACTATAAATCCAAAGAAAACAAAACCACGTCCTTTCTCGTCAAATATGTTTTTCGCAGTGACGTGTTTTGTTATTTCATTAAGAAAGAAGATATCCGTAATATCAACCGTAGAACTAAGTCCAAATGTCATTTCTTAACTTACATTAACAGTATTTTAATTGAAAAGTCATATTACAAAATTGAAGAGTATTTGTTAGATAAAGAAAGGCAACGCGAGTCTTGATATCCCACAATTATGATTCAAAGTGTATTTCATAGCATTTAAGTTTATTTGAAAAGAGCAATCCCTAGAGTTTCTTCCTCGTTCTTCTCAGGGAGGTCAGCATAGGGAATGAGCAGTAGCTTAAAAAATGACGTTTTCAACTGTAAAAATTTTACCTTTGGTGTAAATGATTATTTTGACTTTGACTTTGTTAATATTCCTTTTTTATTTCTTATTTCCATAAAACATAATTCTTAATAAAACAAAGCAATTTTCAAATAAATCGGAATAAATTAATGTCACGATTCGCTAACAGACGGAATTAAATTTTATTAAAATAATAAACTAATGAAATTAGTCTTTTGACGCATATAATTTTTTTGGAACGCGCCTATGTGGTTTAATTAAGGTAATAATACTGCAAAAATCTTGAAAAAAAAGTAGTTGTTTCGATAATTAAATTTTGTTTTAACCCTTTCATAGACATTACTTAAATAGTACACAAAAATGTCCCAATTTTTTTTGCGTAGTGCTTTCAATATAAAAAGTACAAGGTATGTAAATAATTGAATTTTGTCAGTAGTAGCAGTAGAGGTCCTTTAGTAGAGGACATTTATTCAAATTTCAAACCAATTAAAATGAAGTAAGGTGCTTTTGTTAATAGAGACTTACTTGACATATTTAATATCTTTAGGTGTTGTAGTTTATTGATAACTAAAAATAATCAAAAATATATTAAAATTGTATTAGCTCTATAACCGGTAGTAGATATGAATATCTATTACGAAATGGTTGGGTCATAAGAACAATAAACTATGACTGTTTGTTTAATTCGGAAGGAAGAATTTTGTGTCATTGCCATAAAGTTGTGATTTCCAACATGTGGTTTCTGCTGGCCAACCTGTTTTCAAAATGCTTAGAAAACAGAGATCTCCAAAGCTTTTTATCTGTTTTGCGTTGATCCCCTGCCTTTCTAATATAGATTATAAATTCATCAAAATCAGAT